ACAAGTGAACTAACGCCCCTCAAATACCATTGATCCTTATCTAACTCTAACCAGATGCTGACTGTTGAAAAGATTCTTGTAGATAGGCTTGTAGCAAAAAAAAAAAAAAAATAATCTGAACTTTCAGGTGTGGATGTGGTTTTTCGGACCTGACAGAAAGCCTTTGTACAACTTCATATTGTGTACTATTTACACCAGTTCCAAGATCGGAGGCTCTACTCACGATCACTCATGTGCTAGTCCACCTCCCAATTGGATTACTGTAATGCCGTCTTCATGGGGCTATCTTGGTGCAATATGTAGCAATGTGGGGCGGTTATTTGTATTTCTAGAGCAGTACAGGTTACACCTCTGCTCCATGTGCTGCATTAGTTACCAATTCCTTTCTGGGTCCAATTAAAGGTGCTGGTTTTGACTTTTAAAGCCCTATTTAGCATGGGTTGGGTTATCTTATCTCTCCCTGAATATCCCCCAGATTCAGCAGAAGAGGCCTGCTTATGGGCCCTGTATGGGAGCTCCATTTGGCGAGTGCCACTTGCTTTATGGAAATTCCCCTTCCCCTGAAATGAGCTGGCTCTATCCCTGTTGATTTTCTAGAAGTCCCTCAAAATCTGGTTATGCCATCACCTGGAGACCATTCCAGGAGACCAATGAGATATTGAAGTGATTCCATGGTTATTAACATCTGTTATTCTTTTAGACTTGGTTTTTTCATCTTTTTAATAATAATTGTTTTTATATATTAATTTTTTTAAAGTTTATTGTATAACTCCCAAAGTTACTTTTTCATGATGTAGGTGACCTGTAAATTTGAATGAATAAATAAGCATATTTTAGATTGTGCATCTTTAGGAATTTCCTGTTCCTTAAAGTACTGATTGTTATTTAAATTTTCTGAAAATGAGCTATCAATTTAGATGCCTGTTTAGTTGCTATAGAATTGATGTATTATAACCTCGGGTTTCAGTGATCTGTAATTTAAATAAAACAAGAAAAAGTTAATAGGCTTTCCTGTATATTCCCTTTTCTCAATCTTAGGAAATTCCGCAGCAGTTAAATGGCAGTGATTGTGGAATGTTTACTTGCAAATTTGCAGACTTTGTCTCTAGGGATAAACCCATTGCATTTACCCAGGTGAGTTGAAATACTTTAGAAAACAATTTTCATGCTGCTCTATCTCTTGAGATAGGTATTTATTTGTTATTAGTGCTGTGGTGGAAACAGTAGGCTGATTATTATTATCCCATTGAATAAGATGCTCAAGCTTGGAATTGTTAATTACTTTCAAGACATTTTAGATGAAACTGATTGTCTGGATTGATTTTAGGATTAGACGTTAGACAGAAACTATTTTGGCTTCCCTTACGTAAGAAGGAGATGGCAAATACCACCTAATTGGCTCATTTTTGATACCAGTAAACATAATATCCTGAATCAGTGATTAGTTTTTTTAAAAAAAAAATCTGTTGCCATCATGGAACTTTTACTGACTTACAATCTTAATAAAATATGTATAGTGTAAATGATTTTACATAATGAGTAATTAAAACATGAATAAAATTATAAAACAGGCAATTAAAAAGCAGTAAAAATAGTAGGCCACATCTGTAAGTCTTAAAAAGTGCTGTTTTTAATAATTCCCGGAAGCCTAACAAAGTGGAAACTGATCAGATTTCAGATAGCAGGCTATTCCATAGCATTCAGCAGCACCACATAAAAACAGTGGCCTCCTAGTCTCTGAGAGAAGAGGGACCACTAATAGATTTGCTTGGGAGCTTTGTAGTCAGCAAGTTGAAATTGAGTGGAGAATGCCCTTGAGAGAATTCAGTACCAAACTTTGTAAGGCTCTAAAGGTAAAATGAGCACTTTGAATGGCATACAAGAATTATTTGGAAACCAGTGAAAGTCCAAGAGCACAAATGTAATGTGTTCATATTGGCAAATACCTACTAAACACTATGCTGCTGGTCATGTTATTGGTATGTAATTGATATCTGTTTTATTTAATCTGAGTGGGCAGTAGGTGGCCTTTATTGAGCAAGTTAACAGGTTAGATGAGGGCTAAAAACTAAAGCTTAATTTAACTTTGCCTAGTTGAGTGGCGGTTAATCTGTTCTGGCAGTTAGATTTCCTCCAAAATTCAAATGTGCAGCTTGGATTATTCCTGGATTCTATGTTATCACTGAAGGCGCAAGTTGCCTCAGTGATTTGAAACTCCAGTTTTGGTTAATATACCTGTTGCAGCCCATATCTGGATAGAGGGAACAAACCCATTTTCTGGTTGGATGATTGTAATATGTTGTATGTAAGGGTACCTCCTGAAAAGAGTTTGGGATCTTCAGAGGCTAGAATAGAGGGACTTTTTTTGAACTGGTATTGATTGATACAATCATGAGATGCCAGTATCTTAATAGTTGCCCTGGCTTCCAGTCTTTTCCAGGCTATGCAAATATGGCTTTGATGTTTACATATTGACTTGAGGCCAATATTGAAATGACTCTTCCTAATGTCTATCTAGAACCCTGATGGCAAACCTATGGCACGCATGGAAACCTAAAAACCAGGTGACCAGTACATGCATGTGCACCAACCAGCTTCTCTTTGGGTTTCTGATGCTCCGGCACACATCCTGGTTTGGGCACTCAGTGCCGAAAAGGTTAGCCATCGCTGAACTAGAGTGAATGGACATCAGGGAGGGATTTCTAAGCTGGGTTATGCCTTCTGTGAATGCACTCTCCAAAGGAGCCTTGCTTAGTGCCCATATTTTAACAGGCAAATAATTTCTTCTAGATACTTAGCAATTTAGACACAACAAATTATAGACTTGGAGCTTTTACTGGTTTTATGTCAAACAGCTATTTTCTGTCTTTTGTACTCTATATCCTGGGCTAGTGATTCTCATTTTTAATGTTTATTTTATTTTGGCTTTTATATGCATGTACGCATTTGTTATTAAGGAAAGTAAAAATGAAATGGACAGCACGCTTGCTACATGGAAGTATTCAATTATGTTAACAGAGTTTCTTTTTTGCAGTTTCACATGCCTTATTATCGAAAAAAAATGGCATGGGAGATTCTTCATCAGCGGTTGCTATGATGCCAGACCGCTGTTATGGTTCATGTGCATAAAACACCATCCAGTTATACAATTGACTTGCACCCATTTAAAGGCAAAGGTTCAAAATACTCTATTGGCTATGCTCCATTTCTAGAGATGCAAGTTATCCAGAAGAATAATAGAAGCTTTTCCTTGAAGCTTTCCTTCCAAGGAGAAAAAAATATGGCAGCAGGCAGGAATTTGGCAGAGTATTTTAAGTAGTTTGGGGATGTATATGACCTATGTGGCATGAAAAAGAAATATATTGCGATTTTCCAAAGAATGCCAGATTGTCTATGGTTTCAATGCTGATTGGATTCAAACTTATATGGCTTATAAGTAATGCAATTGTAATTGTAGGTGATTTGTCCCATTAATTTTAACTAATCTACTCAAATCAAAATACAATTTGGACTTGCCCTTTGATTATAAGCAAAAAGCATGCTTTTTGAGCTTTATTTTTGAAGTTTTATTGTATATTTCTGTTGGGGCATTTAGTCTGGAATCTACAACTGTATTTTACAGGCAGTGAAAGGAGTGTGCTTACTCATAGTATGTTCCTGAGTTTATATTTTCATATAACTGGATCTTAGTGATGCTGAAAAATGGAAAATTCTGTTTGATTTGTAACAAATCCATTGTAAAAACCCTAGGTGGGAATTGTTCTTTATTTAAAAATTAAAATGTTGTATGAGACTATTTATTTGCATTCTTGTATTGGATATGTGTTGGAATTTCAAGTTAGGTTAACTAAAATGGAAATAAACATCTAGTAAAAATGATACAACTTTCATTGCCTTTTCTGTTTAGAACTGAAATAAGTTTTTCAACTATTATTATATGCTGCAATGTAATATGGGTGAGGAATAGCAAGATTAATGTTTTTCTTTTTCACAATGACAATCTTAATTCCTTCATTACTGTCAAGGTTTTTAGGCTAAATGTTAAGATTGTGCACAATGTTAGGCTACTCACTTTAGAGCCGAGGCACAGAAAAACCCACGTTCTCATGTCACATAAAGGAAGCTTTCTTTTAACAGCTTATCATGGAATTATGAATCATAACAAATAATTGCAGGCCTGTTATATATTGTTTTCAAAGCCTAATCACAACAACCTTTTTGTAAAGTAACAAACCATACTTATTGCTGCTTTCCATTGCTTTGGAAAGTACAGGTAGTCCTCAATCTACGACCACAATTGAGCCCAGAATTTGTGTTGCTAAGTGAAAAATTTGTTTTGACCATTTTATGACTTTTCTTGCCATATTTGTTAAGTGAATCACTGCAGTTGTTAAACTAGTAACACGATTGTTAAGTGAATCTGGTTTCCCCATTGGTTTGGCTTATCAGAAGTTCACAAAAGATGCGCCTCATGACCCCAGGACACTGCAGCCGTCATAAATATGAATCCATTGTCAAGCATCCAAATGTAAATCACATGACCATGGGGATGCTGCAATGATCATAAGTGAAAAATTGTCATAAGTCACTTTTTTCAGTACCATTGTAACTTCAAATGGTCACTAAATGAACTGTTGTATGTTGGTATGCATGGTATTTCACCTCACTTCCTTATTATACACTATAGTGGACAATCAGCAAATGAGGTTAATAATGAAGTCCTGACTTCTGTTAAACAGAGATGACAATGCAGATGTTTACAGGAAGTAATTTTATTATAAAGTGAACCTGTGTTCTGGGCAGAATTAAGTCTTTTACTGTAGAATACATCAGAAATGGAACTGTGATGGTTTGTGGGACCTTGGTAAAGATATATTCAACAATATATTTTAAAAAAACCTATCCTCTCTAGAAATATTCTACTGGAGTGATTAGCACTGGCTGATTAGTGCTGAATTGTGCCAGCTCTTCCAATATAGCTTAACTATCAGTTTTACATATTCAGTCTAGGTGTTTGAGAATAATTTGATTGCATTTCTAGTAAGCATAGTTTAAACCAGGGGTCTCCAACTTTGGCAACTTTAAGACTTGTGGATCTCAACTCCCACAATTCTGGGAGTTGAGGTCCACAAATCTTAAAGTTGCCAAGGTTGGAGACCCCTGGTTTAAAAGCTGTGCTCCCAAACAAGGAGAAATTTAACAGCAGATCCTGCCATTTACTGTGAAAGGGCTTATTCAGACTATTCAATGGGAAGAAAGTATACTGATGTCATTGTCACCACTGTAACCCTTTTACCATGTCTCGGGATCAAGGTCAAAATACCTGCCCTAATGTAGAGAGCAGTTAGCCCCTACAGCTGCAGAAGAGCAGGGAAGAGTCATTTTTCATTCTCCGCTGCCTGTTTCTTGTTGATTCAGTGTCCCTTCTGGACAGGATAAAGGCCTCTTCTTCCCTCCTCCTTGCATTCTCTACAGTAAAAGTATTTCCATTTGTAACCTGTGAGCATTTGTGGCAGAGGGAAGGTGTGTCACCTTGAGGCAGGAATTGCTCTATTGTTGCTCGTCCAAATCCATGATCATCCTTTGGCTGCTTGTCTTCTGAGGAGTCACTGACTACCCAGCAAAGATGTAGCTTAGGTGAGGTGGCTAGTTTTGTTGGGAGTGAGGAAGCAGAAGTTAAGACCCATGCAGCCTAAAGTCTTTGCATATCAGAAGTCAGAATTCTGCAAATAGTTGTGTAAATGGGTGTTTCTGGCTTTGAGTACTAGCTTGAATCTCCTTTCTGCTCTAAACTGGGCAGTTTCAAGCAAGAAAACTGAATTAAATTCAGGAGAATTAAATGGAGGAAAGGGCCAGAATAGAATTTGGAGTATTGAAGGCCTTCATGAGACCATTATTTCTAAGACCTGAGGTTTCTAAGAGTCTTTTCAATGAAAGCATAAAGGGTTAAGGAGCCCTGTGGTCAGATAGGACGGACAGTCCTGCAGCAATACAATTGGAGCCCAGCAAGTTGTCGTCTCCTCTCAGGTGGCCCTTACAGGACAGAATGCATAGGTAGCCTTCAGGTTGCCTCAGTAGCAGGAGGCAGACAGGCAATGAGTTGGAGACTCTATTGAGAGAATATGCCCTCTGTTAATGTGTGAAGGTCTTTCTTGAACCCAGAATAATGTGATTTGGGGATGAATCAATGGAGAAATGTTAACCTTTGGCTCTGCTTTGTTTGTAAGACGCTCCCAATAGGACCAAATTAAGTTCTACAAAGGAAAACAAGTATCTTTCAAAATGTCCAGTTAATTCATTAAAACAGGCTCTCAAACTTTCCAAACTCTCAAACACTTCCTAACCCATAACCCACTAAAATAATGAACAAATGTAATCATCCATGAATAAAATAGATGATTTCACTGTAATTTCACTGACAGTTGGGCAGAAAAACTTCATTTCTTGCTTTCAATGATTATATTTTATTCTATATATCAAGGAGTTCTCCAACTTTGTACTGCAGCTGCCCACTTGTAGCTTCACAAAGGCTGAGGTAATTTTTGATAATGCTCCGACTTTGTTTTCGCAAGCCTGATCAGATTTTAAAAGCAACTATGACCTAAATTGGCTACGATCTCCAAGTGTCCTGATCAATTATTAAGAACCTCTGGTGTAAGGCATTAGCTCTCTGAAAACTTTTATCTTAGAAAATATTTTTTCCTATCACAGTAAATAAGCCAGATACACACTCACACAAAATGTTTTAAGTTTTCAGATCATCTTGGTTTAGTCCTATGTCTTTCATTTTGCTTGTAAAAGGCTTTGTTAAATGTCTCCTGAAAATGCAGATGAAACGTGTTTTTGAAGTCCGTAGTAGTGGTATCTTAGTTAAAAAGCCCCTCCCTTTCAGTGTATGCCTTCAAACAATGGCTGGACATCATAAATTGGGAGGGATGCTTTAAACTGGATTGTTGCACTGATATGCTGGCTTCATGGCTGAAACATCCGATTTGATGTTGCCACTGCAATTTAAATGAATCTGCACCAGGTACTTGTACAAAACACATCTTTGTTTCTGTTCCACCCACTGACCTCACAAGACCACAAAAGGCCCTCTAATTAAAAGCAAAGGAAGATAGAGATTAGAGAGAAGAAGGTTTGCACCCCATCTGTTTTCCAACTTTGTAGTTAAATAAAACTACAGAGGTCAGGTCTTGTTAGCTGGATGTATTTTGGTTTTTTTGTTTGCTTTTTCACAGAACACTCTTTTAAAGTAGAGAAAACTGGTGTTTCAATCTAATGGTACAATGGCATGTTCACAGAACCAGCATAACATCCATCTGTTAGCACAGAAAAACTCTTAATAGTGTGTTTAACCTGTCAAACTCAGGAGTTCTGCTCCAGTGTCTCTTGCACGTCTATTTTTTTTATTATTACTATGTTTGAAGGTTATTGACTCACATCTAGCAGAAGAATAATACAGAATAATCATCATACAGAATGATGTTTTCTTCCACCTGGCAGCTGTCTTTTGTCTAAATTTATTTCCAACTCAGTTTTATTAAAAAAATAAAAAAATGCTCCAACTCTCAGTTTTACAAGGCATACAAAATCTCAAAAAGGGACACACAAGAGCAAGGTGCTGAGGTATGAAAACACCTGAGGTAGTTTGTTTCTTTTTTTTTTGAAAAAAGTTGCAATTTTCATGCCCTGGGCCAACACCCTCTTGTTAATCCCATTTTAAAAATCCATTTCCCAAAGTATAGGTGGCAGCATTCTGCATGCAAAAGTACCAAGTGTGCTCTGTTTTCCTGTAAGCAGGGTCAAAGTTTTCCCCTCCCCCACCCTTTCAGGAAACTGATATAAAGCTTGGCATTTTGTGTGTGTNAGCCAGGTTTTAATAGCTTTGCGGAAGGCCATGAGAGTGGTATTAATTTAGGAATTAATGTTTTAGTCTGCACTCACACCCAATTTCCCTTCTTTACTGATTTCAGTACTTCAGTTGTGGCTTCTTCAAACCACAGCTTCCTTATTGCACATAAAATGGTCTGTGGTTTAAAAAACAACACATAATTAAAGCACTTCAGAGGTATGGGAAGATGTGTTGGGTAAGAGAAGGTGTTCTGGTCTGATTTACTAAATCACAGATACTTAACTAGGATTATTATATCTAGACGTGATGTAAGTGTAAAATATAGATGCAGTGAAGTCCTATTTAAAGGGATATGTGTGTTGTTCCTGAATCTCTAGCCTAAACCTATGCTTGTTTGTTTATTAAAAATAAAATATCTTGTATTAGGTGAAAGTTTCTAAAACATCAAGTTTTATTCCAGTCATTGATGATGCCGGAGGAGGGGAGAGATCCCACCTTCGGCTCACACTGTGTCAGGTGTTTCAGGGTTTGATGCTCTGTCCATCAACATCTATAGGAAGTGGCTGGGTGAGCTCATCTGTCACCATAGGGTGAGGTGTCATCAGTACCCTGAGGATTCCCAATTATTTATCTCAGCCTCTGACAAATTAAGTGTTGCTGTGCACATTTTATCTCGTTGCCTGGAGGCTATGAGAATCTGGATTGGGGAAAACAGACTTCAGCTAAACTCTGGAAAGACTTAAGTGGCTTGGGATTTGGGGACTTGTCAGTTCCAGGTTTATTCTATTTTTGCTGCTGGATGGGATTGCATTGTCCAAAAGAGATCCCATGTATAATCTCATAGTCTTCCTGGATTCGGGAATCATGCTTGAAGAACAGGTGTCAGTCATGGGAACAAAATGTGTAGGAGACGGACTGGCAGAGCCAGGGGGAGGAATTAAAAGAGGATCAGCTTAGAGTTGTTACCAGTGGTGGGTTGCAGGTGGTATGCCCCAGTACAGGCGTACTGGAGCCTGCCCGGAGCACTGGGTACCATTCTGGTACGGTGCTCCGGAGGGCCCACCCACCCGCCCGAGCTCCTTACCTGTGCTTTAAGCCTTTGGCGTTTCCGCGCATGTGCATGGTGCATATGGCACCTGCACGACGCTCTGCCGAGCAGCTGGAGCGTCGCAGAGGCTTGCGGAAGCGTTGCAGGCACGTATGATGCACGCACGCTGCGCACATCCATGTGGATGATGCCGGGGGGGGGGGTACGGTTGGAACAGAATCTGGAATCCACCACTGGTTGTTACATAACCACAAGTGAACTAACGCCCCTCAAATACCATTGATCCTTATCTAACTCTAACCAGATGCTGACTGTTGAAAAGATTCTTGTAGATAGGCTTGTAGCAAAAAAAAAAAATAATAATCTGAACTTTCAGGTGTGGATGTGGTTTTTCGGACCTGACAGAAAGCCTTTGTACAACTTCATATTGTGTACTATTTACACCAGTTCCAAGATCGGAGGCTCTACTCACGATCACTCATGTGCTAGTCCACCTCCCAATTGGATTACTGTAATGCCGTCTTCATGGGGCTATCTTGGTGCAATATGTAGCAATGTGGGGCGGTTATTTGTATTTCTAGAGCAGTACAGGTTACACCTCTGCTCCATGTGCTGCATTAGTTACCAATTCCTTTCTGGGTCCAATTAAAGGTGCTGGTTTTGACTTTTAAAGCCCTATTTAGCATGGGTTGGGTTATCTTATCTCTCCCTGAATATCCCCCAGATTCAGCAGAAGAGGCCTGCTTATGGGCCCTGTATGGGAGCTCCATTTGGCGAGTGCCACTTGCTTTATGGAAATTCCCCTTCCCCTGAAATGAGCTGGCTCTATCCCTGTTGATTTTCTAGAAGTCCCTCAAAATCTGGTTATGCCATCACCTGGAGACCATTCCAGGAGACCAATGAGATATTGAAGTGATTCCATGGTTATTAACATCTGTTATTCTTTTAGACTTGGTTTTTTCATCTTTTTAATAATAATTGTTTTTATATATTAATTTTTTTAAAGTTTATTGTATAACTCCCAAAGTTACTTTTTCATGATGTAGGTGACCTGTAAATTTGAATGAATAAATAAGCATATTTTAGATTGTGCATCTTTAGGAATTTCCTGTTCCTTAAAGTACTGATTGTTATTTAAATTTTCTGAAAATGAGCTATCAATTTAGATGCCTGTTTAGTTGCTATAGAATTGATGTATTATAACCTCGGGTTTCAGTGATCTGTAATTTAAATAAAACAAGAAAAAGTTAATAGGCTTTCCTGTATATTCCCTTTTCTCAATCTTAGGAAATTCCGCAGCAGTTAAATGGCAGTGATTGTGGAATGTTTACTTGCAAATTTGCAGACTTTGTCTCTAGGGATAAACCCATTGCATTTACCCAGGTGAGTTGAAATACTTTAGAAAACAATTTTCATGCTGCTCTATCTCTTGAGATAGGTATTTATTTGTTATTAGTGCTGTGGTGGAAACAGTAGGCTGATTATTATTATCCCATTGAATAAGATGCTCAAGCTTGGAATTGTTAATTACTTTCAAGACATTTTAGATGAAACTGATTGTCTGGATTGATTTTAGGATTAGACGTTAGACAGAAACTATTTTGGCTTCCCTTACGTAAGAAGGAGATGGCAAATACCACCTAATTGGCTCATTTTTGATACCAGTAAACATAATATCCTGAATCAGTGATTAGTTTTTTTAAAAAAAAAATCTGTTGCCATCATGGAACTTTTACTGACTTACAATCTTAATAAAATATGTATAGTGTAAATGATTTTACATAATGAGTAATTAAAACATGAATAAAATTATAAAACAGGCAATNATATATACATACACGTACACATGTGCATGTACTTGGAGGATTGCACCCTGGTACAAAATGAGAGACTGTATGCAAAAACCAGTTTGAGATCTGTGAAGCAAAGAGAAGATCACATGAGCTGGAGAAAGAAATGCATAGAGATTCCTCTGCTAACAAGACGGTATCCCTTCTGTTGGCACTTAACAGGCAATCTATGATGATGTGCTGCTACCATTAATCATCCTGACGTCCTTCAAAGTATTGTTCACCTTTGAGTCTCGTTCAATTTTGTTCTGCCAATCCTACATCCCCATCCTACTTTCTGTTAGAAACCCATAACGGACTAGCCTTTTAATTTTAGTCTAGAAAAGCTGGCTTTTTCTAAAAAAAAATTTAATTGTTAAAAAATTAAAGACTGGAGTTAGTTAGCTAGATTAATTCTAAAATATATTAATGCTATCTGGTGCAGCAGCTCATGCACTGTGTAAAAAAAAAATGCTTTCCTAGTATGTACATACATGTACAGACAATTTTTGCAAAATTTCTGCCTATGTTAGTCCAACTAAAGGGATAGCGTTGTACTGTTAGAGAGACTCCATGAGACTATGGGGTGAGAGAGGCAGTTCCTGCTGGCTGAAGCCCATCCCTTCCCACTCCCTGGGTACTGGATGTCCTCTGTAGAGCCCCAGCCTCTTGGGCAGACTTGGATGCCGTCAGATAGTCTTTGGTTTGCTCCCTGGTCCGGTGATTCTATCATGTGTTGGAAGGGCTACATTCATCAGTTGTTGCTGGCCAGCACCCTGCAGCCTCATTTGCTGCGCTGCGAGGCCGGGGTGCCTTGTGGATGTTTCTGTTCCTGCTGTTTCACTTGCTGGACAATTTCCCTGATCTTGCGCTGAGCAGTCTATAATAGGGAGAAAGACAGAGTACTTGTTGGTTTCAAAAAAGGAGAAAATTGGAAAGCTGTCTCTATTGATTAGGATGTGTATATTAACCCTCTTCAGTATGGAGAAACCCACTATGCCTTGTGTTAGCAAAACACTGATATTGTGACATTTAGGAATGTTGCCTGATTTTCCCTGCTCTTTAGTTTAGAATTTAAACATTACTTTAGCAGAAAATCACAATTATTTCCTGGAGAATTTGTTTTCCCTAAACACCAACCTAAAGCATCCATTAAGTATTTGCAAAGTATTATGGGATTTATTTTAAAAAATGAGAATATGTATATACTTCGGGGAAACAAATACAGAACAAAAAGCAAGGTATGAAGAATTGTGTGACCCACGCTGTAAGCAAAGTTGGCTCACAGGAATGCATGGAGAGATATAGCAAATGGTGTTGCTGCAAACGAGATTTGGTTTTTTTTCTCTTTTGGTTCTTTGTCCTCAAAGAAAATAGCCAATTGCCATTAACAAAAGTGTCTCTCTGTAGCATTTTCAGGAGTGGGGTAGAAGATATTGATGAAGATGGGCATGACTGCTTCCACCATTCTGATTGCCTATACATAAACCGGGAAGGAACATGCATTTCCATATCATTCAAATAGCAGTTTCAAGATTGATTAGCTACTTACTGAACAAATTATTTTACAGTACTACTATACCTGACTGGCAAAGAAGTGACCAATTATTTTGACAACAACTTCCTCATTTTCATCAGGAGTTTGGTCACGTGGTACAATTACTTCTGCACTAGTTAAATTCTGTAGTTCATTCACCTGTAACAGCAAGTATACAGGAAAAAAGTTCTAATGTGGTTTATCATCAAATTAACAAAGCGAAGATGCTCTCATTTGCTTTTGATATCAAACAAACATCAATTTTTGCTTTAAACTACTTTCTTATTTCAGAGTTATACTATGTACGGTATTTTATTCACTAATCATTCACTTTCATCCTTCAATGTAAGATTTATCCCACTTACCGTTTTGCCACCTTTTCCTATCACTCGACCTGCTGCAGAAGAAGGCACCTTGATGTGAGCTTCAAGCTTCACTTCCTCTTTTGGATTGAAAAAGTTTTCTTCTTTCAGTTTTCCAAATATCCGTCCTTGGGCCTAAGGTAGAAATTAGGTCAATGGAGTCTCTTTATTATTCATCAACCAGCGAAAGAAAGCTTTGAGAAAAAAGATGAAATTTAATTTATAATATATAAATTCATGATACAAAGAATCTATTTTGGTGTTTCACGAGAAAAGAATTTTTGAGTGGTGGTTGATAAAGAGCTTGAAATTACTTAACCTATCCAATATGACATCAGTATTGGGTGCTGTGTTGAGCATTCGCCCAGCCTGTGTGCAATACCAAATTTAGCAAAGGAACAAGGATGGCGGTTGTTCCTAAAAACCAATTTTATTTAGAAAAGCCAGTCATATTTTTTTAAAGGACACAGACCAGCTATTCTCTCTTTATCAGTTAGAAAAGTTATAATCCCATCAGATAGTTTGTAAATCTAGTATTTAAAGCATGATTTGTCCTAATTTGGGACTTAAATGGTAGTGAAATTACATGCCCTTATAAAGTTTCAAAAAGGCGTTGGCCACAAATCTGTTCTAACAGCAGCAAAAAAGAACTCTTTCTAGCATTATGAGATTGAGGTTATTACCCGATGCACATGTACCTGGAATAGTCTCACTAAACACGTGGAGATTTACTTTTAAGTGGGTACATATGAAATACTATATATATAAAACTACAGGTAATCTTCGATTTACAACAATTCCTTTAGTGACAGTTCAAAGTTACAATGGCACTGAAAAAAGTGACTGGATACTATTGTGATGATGTTCCAAGCTATGGCTGTGAGGATTGCTTGAGTCCATATCCCTGTAACAATGGGGTAAGCAGCAGTAAAAACGTTAGGTTGCTTGATCTGCCAGCATATCTGTCCCCTTGAACAGCTGCTACCCACATCATTTCAGTAGCTGGAATAAAGAAGCAGGCAAATGTTTTGCTTTTCATGATAAAAGCTTATTCATACTGACCTTGAATTGTGCTTCTGGGGCCCCTGTAATTATAACCATCCTCTCACTGGCATCTGGACTCTCAGCTGGTGCAATCTGCAAGTTACAAGGAACACAACAAGGTATGTAACAAATTTATTTTTCCCTCAGTTTTTGATCAATGCTTCTCGATGTAATACAAAAACTAATGAGCAGCTCTGTAGTTCAAAGGACACAGCTGTGGATTCCATTACACTGAAAACATATGACTCTTACTGAAAATCTAGATTGGTTCTTGTATTCATCTCTGGCTTCTTTATTGTATCTAGTTTTTAAAGCAATTTTTATTGTGTTTGATTTTGAGTAGCAATTTCAACTACAAAGGGGTGCAACTGAAAAACTGTTCTTCATTTTTAACAATAGAGATTCTATTCTGTTTCTTAGAGTGACCAATAACAATTTCTGGAATCTTTCCTTCAAAGATGGAGCCTCTTGCTCAAAATGAGGGAGAAAAGAAACTCTTCTTTCACTGGTGGTAAAACATTGCTGCAATTAACCTAAGATATCTTTTCCCAACAGTTACTATATTTTGCACAGCAATGAAGTTCTTAGCCATTATCATGGGAAATAATGGGAATCATAATCTTGTAATAATATAGTATAGAATAATTATTATAATATGTAATAATTACATCTGAATACTAGTTGAAGATGAGTGTGAGAGAACAAAGAAATACGACAGAGACCATTTTGTAAAAAGCAAAACACATCAAAACATCCTGATGAAGTTCAGCAAAGTCTCCAATTTTTTTCTTGAGGAAAATGTCTCATTTCTCAATTTTTACCACAGGAATGAGCTTCAGAGTGAAAACCATATGAAAAAAAAATTAAGTATTAAGTATTAAAGTATTAAATTAGCAATTGTTCTACATAAAATGTATTCAAATAGGTTCAGCAGTAGTTTTGGTGTATCATAAGTCTAATTCATGAGATTCATTCACATTACTCTGATTGGTGAAACTTTACCCAAACCTGCTTTGCTCACGTAATGTAGGACGAGTCAGGCCGACTCATCAGACAGTCCCAGAAGTTACTTGAGTCAGTCTCTCATAATGAATCATTTCTCAAATACACTGCTTTTCTGTATACTCATCCAGTCGTCTTTTCTACATCAGTCTACAGCAGTGGTTCCCAAACTTGGCAACTTTAAGACTTCTGCTGGCTGGAGAATTCTGGGAGTTGAAGTCCACAAGTCTTAAAGTTGCCAAGTTTGGGAACCACTGGTCTACAGTATTTGAAGGCTGGGAGAAAACAATTGCCTTCTAAAGAGATGTCCATAGCTAAGATCTGCAGTTATTTATCCAGAAAGGAATTCTCTTTCCTCACAAATATTTCTTCCTTTTCACTGGTACATTGTTGTTTGCAGTGGTCAGTAATTTACATTACTGTAATAATGGAAGCAACTGCAATTCATAAAATGAATGAAAAGAGGGGTTTTATGGTTTGGTGTCAATAAGGTATAAAAGGATAACTAACCTGTGGATTACATTCAATATTAGCTAACATTTGTTCAGTCAGCTATTCTCCCTAGGAGCACTATTAATTTTGGGGGGGGAAAGCCTTCTCAGAATAATAGGTTTACTGTATATGGAAGCCCAATAAAAGGATTTTGGAAGGTGCTGTTGTGTTAAGATAATTATTGGGTGAGAAAATTACCATATTTTTCAGAGTATAAGACGCACCTTTTTTCCTCAAAAAAGAGGCTGAAAATCTGGGTGTCTCTTATTCATGGAATACAGCATTTTTTTGCCTCCTGAAGCCCCGCCCCTTCACAAAAATGGCCGTGCATACCCTTATGGAGGCTTCCAGAGTGCTTCTGAGGATTGGGGAGGGCAGAAATAAGTAAAAAACGGGCTGTTTCCCCCCCCCCCAAAACAGAGACTTTTTACCTTACCCCAGCCCTGCTGAAGCCTGCAGAATGCTGCCGGGAGCTGAGGGAAGGCAAAAACTTTTTTCTCTTACTTACCTCTTCGAAATCTTAGGGCGTCTTATACACCAGTGCGTCTTATAGTCTGAAAAATATGGTAAGTGTCCCCGTGGTGATGAGGCATTAGATTCCAATTCACACCTTTATTGTCAGTGCACAACGTGTGTACAGTGAGATTGGCTGAGCCTCCCTTAGTGCACCTCCCTAACAATACAACTCACAGTGAAGACAGAAAATCCCTAACCCAATAAATCATATTTACAACCACATAACCCTATTTCACCAATGTGAACATGTTGCACGCTGCACCGGCCCTGCATGTCCATCATACTACGTACCATATTTTTCGGAGTATAAGACGCACCTTTTTCCCCTCAAAAAAGAGGCTGAAAATCTG